AGGTGCACTGATGGCAGCRGTAGCAAAAAGATATCAGAATAATCTCAACATCTGCTAGCAAGTTAATGCAGGCAAGTCCCCAGTAGGTCATTCCCAGCCTTCACTGATTACTTTGCCATCACTGTTTTCTTCACCTACATTAACTTCATGAATGTAAGCCAAGATTAGTGTTTTCTTGCTAAAATCACACTTTGTATTGCAGCCTTTGACTATTTCTTGACTGTTCTAAACTAAGAAAAACAGGATTTGGGACTCTCGTATTGAAACTATTTGTCTTAAGCCTCTTTGAGTGGCTGGTTGGACTATGGGGACACAAATGGGGTCACCAGGTATTTCTAGACCTGGCAGAGCTCTGTGGGAACCTGTCCAACCTAAATGCCTTATTGTGCAATTTAACACAGCGCTGCTCAGTACAYTACTGTTAAACTCTTCCCAACTCTTGTCTTAGAGGCTGCTCCACTTCAGGGAGATATGTAAATCTTGCACTAGTTTATAGCTCATATAAGAAAGCTTCTCCAGATGGCAAGATCATCACCAAGATGACATGCACTTTTAGGACATGTGGCACTCTTTGTTTGCAGTTAYGTAAGTAATTCAGAACTGCAGAAAGGGATCTGCTTCTTCCTTCAGCTGTCCACTGAACCTCCCTAAGAAGATGACAGACCATATGAAGCAGAGGTACTCTCACAACTGAAAACTTAGTTAAACAGACAGAAATGGTTTTTCATATATTTTAGTCCATAAATACACAATAGGYAATCATAAAAAAAATAACCTCTACAGTAATGCTGACTAAAAGCAATTTATTCATTTGAAGCTTATGAAGGTTAAACTTCTGYCAAACAAAAAAAGCTAGGCTTAGATCCAACAAGATTTACTTTTGAAAATAAGCACATTAAAGATAGATATATTTTTAGGAAAAAAGCTAGAATAAGGACCAAAAGAGGGCAAAAGAGATRTTTTTGAAGAGATAATCAACCTACCTGTGCCTCAAGTTTCCCAGGAAGATAAGGAGGATAATAGKTTTTTTTTGCCCTTACACTGGATTGTGAAGCTTAATGCATAAAGAACTTTATCCRAAGCCATTAAAGCCAATAGAAATCTTTCATTGACTTTAATGAGCTTTTGTTCAGATTTTTTACATAACAGCTGAAAGACTGCCATTGATTTCAAGCCCTAATTTTATAAAGCTCTTTTATGTCCCCAACTCGGAGGCATTTGGAAACATATAAACATATAAATAAGAGCATTATAATAACATATGATCTCCATAAGATAAAATTAGCCTGGTTTACTTTTTTAAAAATTATGAGAGAGCTTCTCACTGCACATGTGTGCTTCCAGGAATACATCAGTTACTATATGCACTTATTAATAACTGTTTCTTAGATACACTCACATGTCTGTTGTATAACCATCTCTGMACTGCTGGATGCCAGCTCTAAACATTTAATTTAAACAAAGCACAGTTTATAATTACTGTTCCCTTGATTTAGCCAGAATATTGGCCACAGAATGTAAATYGTAGCTTTGCTTTTATGCTGATGTTATCTGACTATGCTGGCAAAGACAATACCTGATCCAGCATAAAGTTAACCCTTTAAAATTTTTAAAAAATTTGAAGCAGCAGAGGAGTCTAATGCTTCATCCATTCTTTATAGTATCTCCTGCATTTCTGATCAAAGAAAGAAGAAGCATTGCCAGGAACATTACCTTTATATTTCCTATGCCTACAACCCCTAGTAAAAAGGCCCACCAAATCGGAAAATTACCAGAACTGAAAACAAAAAGAAGACATTTTAACAATGTGGTATCTTTATATAACGTATTCACTGTCACATTCCTGTAGTATGCCAAATAAGGAATGTWAAGCTAATGTCATAAAAGCTTGACTTCACTGAGAATTTAGAAACAGTAACAGTCAATTTAACAGAAATCTCTAGCCTCGAACAGGTAATTAAAAAAAATTCCATCAATATGTAATTTTTTATCCCCTTAAATAATAGTAAAAACATGCAAATTCTCTAAATGTTTATTTGTTTCTATTCAAAACAGCTATTTTCACTATTATGAATGGCTGACAGATTTCCAAACCTGAAACACATCATTATCAGAGCAGTAGTATTATCTATCACATACCAGTCAGTATTACACAAAGCATTTTTTACAAGACAATGCACAATAGGCATGAACTAATTAATTTAGTTCATATTCAGGAAAGGTAATTAATATTTAAGTTTTGAACATATAGAGAGTTAATACCATTTCTAATTCAGCACTAACCATAGATARCCTATTATTTTTGTAATATTATTTAAGATAATAATTCCATTCAAAGACACAATTAAGCAGAAAGGAAATAGTAAACCTCTACAAACCTTAGTTAAAACATCTTCATTTTATTTACACACATCAGGAATATATATGCCTATTTTTTAAAAATGCAATTTTAGTCCTATTAAACCATACAAGAACAAGATAGTATTTATTGCATAACATTTTTATGAACTAAGTAAACACAATTTAATTAGGCCAAGTTTTACGGTTTAGAAATTCATATCTCTGAAAAGGTGCATCTAATTTAGAACTTGATTGGTATCAGAGTTTTTGCTTTATCAACCTAACCCATTAGGCCATTACACATATTGTTATTCTCCAACAGAAAAAAATATTCTAACATCTGTYCTCAATCTGTTTCTCCATAATTTCCTTTTATGCCCCACGTAACTCATTAAGTTCATCTACAAAACATTACCGAGTCTATCTACAGTATAAATGTCTTTTTACTGTACAATCCCATGAAAATAGAATAAATGGTAGTCTGCAACATAATACACATAAAACCCCCACTATTCCTACTGTATCTTTTGATTAAAATTTTCAGTCAGAATTGTGATACACATAATGTTTAACCAAATGTCTTAAGTGACCTATATACCAACAAAGTGAGAAAAACAGGTCCATGCCTTACCATTGTGCTGTCTGTTCCTTATGACTGCTGCAGTCTTATAACAGAATGTTTTTAAAAAATAACATACTTTCTGAATGGCTTGAAAGAGTGATTTTAATATTTTAATTCACTTGTGCAAATAATCTCCACAGTACAGAAGAGGAGTAGAAAATGTCCCAGTAACCTAAAATCTTACATGTGTAGGATGAAAAGAACCTGGAGTGCAGYGTGTTCTTCTAAATACACTTTCCATTTTCTTCTACAGACAAAAATTTTCTATATTTTATTATTCTGAAGCTAGTTTCAAACCCTGTGATCTCTTCTGCCCCTTCTGTCTGCATTCAGCGATTGCTGTTATAATTTAATTTGAGAGCAAAATACCTGTTTACAGCTGACTTGCCCAGAATGTGTTCATCAAAGCAATACAAAGGTCATTTTTTCCCCAAAGAAAGATAAAGAATTCACTGTCAAAWCCTGTCCTGCTAGCTCTCAAAAGTGCCATTGCTGTAAGAAAAGTGACATACTATCTGATGTTAGCTAGCAATTGATGATTAATGTGAGATCAAAGCCTAGTGAAGAGGATTTACTAATATTTAAACATCTGCAAATTAAGTAAAAATCTGAGGGTATTTAGATTTACCCCCACATACCATCTTGCATGAAAGCTGCTTGCTGCCTACCTTGAGGATTTTACCTTGTATGAATTTTTGTGTGAGCTGCTGTAAATCTGAAACCAATGTCCAACTGCTAAAGGTTCTTTATGCTCTGAGTCCATACTGGCAATATATTTGTAAGTGAAAAGAAGATTACTGGCTTTATGAATAAGATTTATGTTAGGAACAGAGAGTGACATAGAAAAGCTTACTAAAGGAAGAAAGAGATACCTGCACAGGATAGACTGAATTAGATCCTCTATTTAGAACCTCTAAAACTAGATGTTAAAAATCTTAGAGGATAGTAGAAGGAAAATAATAATGAAAACCTGCAAGAAATACAAGCACAGAAAAGTGAGACAAGCTAAATTAGAGGCATCACCATCACATACTCCAAATCAGACAGTAGGCCTRTTTTGTACTTTTTCCTGGGAACAAATTATTTCAATTTAATAATTGGGCTAAACTTCAAGAAGCCAGTCAAACTCATAAGGTCCTTGTCATTAATTCAATTAGTCAATGGGAGGACTTCAGTATSAAATAGATGTGAAATGCCTAAAGGTAGAAAAGTCCAAAAACTGCTGTGAAGAACAGGGGAAGGAATTATTAGAGGAATATTCTCTCTTTAAAAAAACAGAAAAATCCTGCATGTGGAATAGGACTAAAAGAGTTTGTCTTTCCACAGTAGGATACATAGTTTAAGCAACTATCATCTCCTGTATGCTAGATTAAGTTAAAACAAGAACCAGAATCCATTCAAAGTGTAACAAAGCCAAAACCAAACCCAAACTAGAGAAAGTGAAAGAAATGTCTTCCTGATGAAGAGATGCACACTTTTCCCAGTAAAAAATCAGATTTTTCAAGTTACAGCTTCTTTTCACTCAATATGAAAAGGATCTTATGCAAAGAAAACGTAAATATTTACTTTTTGAAAAAAAAAATTAAATATTTCTGCTATTGTCCACAGAACAATTTATCAGTTAACACTTGTTAAGCACAGTTGCGGTTTCCCAATTCTTTATCCCAGCACTGGCACTAAAGCAAGACCAAACTCCCAGGAGGGAACCATTCCAAATTACATCAGCTGGCAAAATGTCCCCAGGGAGCATCTGTCAGCTACAGGGAGCTGGCTCTCCCTCTGGCTACTATTCCAGTACATCCCTCCAAATTTAAAATCTCTACCACATCTCCTTCCATGTGGGGAATTGAAAGAAGTCTTTATTCTTTTTATAATAGCTAAGAAAAAAACTCAGTATCTGCTGACCAAGGTATTTTATRAAATTTAATAATTGTCACAAAAATAATAAAACTACAATCTCAATCAATTCATACTTGCTGTGTTTCACATAGGCACAGATTTTCAGTTGCAAAGTGTGACATACAGAGAATTGACTTACAGGACCAAAAGCATTGCTGTCAAAGCTGTGTCCATGGTGATCACCTTCCACCCAAATATGACCATGGGGAACTTTCACATACTTCTTTTTGTATCCAATGGTTCTAAGCAGAATTGAAAAAAAAGGTTAGTTAAAAGAGTTTTTAAAAACCCAACCCACCAACCAACAACAACAACAACAACAACAAAAAACCCCAAATAAACAAACAACAACAACAACAACAACAAAACACATTAAAAACCCAAAACCCAACAATGTTTTGTTAGGAAAATTCACATATTTATAGGTTTAGAATTTGACCTTGCATACAACTCAACACCTGCTTAAAAGAACACACTGAAGTCCTTTGSACTTCAAGAATGTTACTCAAGTCAAAATATATACAAATTTTGTATGAGCTAGTTGAACTATCAGGATTTGTTTACTATACTGTTTTGTCAGAAATCATATCACAACACAGGAAGAAGAGACTTTTCAGTTAAATTAACTGAAAAATTAAGGGCTTATTAACTCCATCTCCATAGTAACAAAATTTTGAACTATCTGATTTTATCTCAGGTAAATAACTTTGAACATATATATGTTGCAGTYACATAGACACTGCCTAAGACTGTTTTTCTTCATCAAAAACATACCGATGTATCTGAACTGGCCTCAGATTCAGAGCCCAGATTCCTGCAATGATTCTGTCCTGGGGATAGGATTTGTTCAGCTGTAACAAGCAAAACAGGATAAACTTAAAAGAAACCTCTAAGAGAAGGCCAAGTGATGAAAAAAAAAAAAAAAAGACATTGATGCCATCCTCTACAGAAAATCATACTGCCACAGCATGTCCCAATATTACAAAATAACAAGCTACCGATTAGTACTAAAGCTGAGGTGCAGAGTATGCATAATTCCTGCATTTACTTCCCCAAGCTGCTGTCATTTTCATAATGCCAGTATGCCTTCTACCACACTCTTGCTTTCTTTCAGATGGGACCTGTTATTCTGCAATTATTCATACAGATAAACTGTCATGCTTTAACCTCAGCCAGCAATTGTCATGCACGCTGAATTATCACCATGATGAAGCATTTACAGATGGGACTATGAATTGTGATACCTCTTATTTAGTTTTGAATAAACAAGTCTGCCCATAGACAGAAACAGACTTTTGATCTGCTTGTTGCCTCCAGCTGCTCATCGCTTTTCACTGTCGGAAGATATGCCCTCAGAGCAGAAGGCAGAGGGAGCACACTCCAAAACAAAAGACAAAAATCACAAAAATTACTGGAAAGAGTAAATCACCTTCACCAAGAGATTTAGCTGAACTGTGCAACAGCACTAATCAGGATTTCTCACCAGTCAAAATGAAAAAAAAAAATTGGGATTGGGAGGTTTGTTTTGCTTGGAGAGGAGGGTGAGTATGTTAAAACGACAAGCGAATCAATAACCTGGAGGCCATGAAATATTTGATAAACAAGGAATCATCAAAAGTGCATTTTATTAATTTTATTTGACTATATTAGTAAAATAAAAATAACGATTACTTAATTTGCAAGTCACAAAATCTGACCAATGCTTTTCCAAACAGCTTTTTTTTCGGCAGCTAAAAGGATGAGTGTGCCATACTATATTCTATGGAATTTCTATATGTACTTTCATTGGAAGCTGAAAAAAAATAGCCTATTTGCAGAAAAGAAAAAGATTGATCTTCATTTTTTCTAGAACAATTTACATTACACATTATTCAAGCATAAACTCTTAAACCATTCAAAACAAAAACACAAAACTGTCCTAGTTGGTAAATATATGATTTCCTAAACACAGAGTCTGCTATAATAATTCAACCRTGCCCAAAAAAAAGCAATTTATTACTATGCAAATCCTTTTTTCAAGAAATATGTCATACAATATGTTATTATATTTTGAGATTTCATAATGCCTCATCTCACTGATAGTTTCTTTTATAAAGTATCATATATTGTACTAGCAAAATGCTTTAAAGTATAGGCTGAGGGTAGCTCATTAATTATGCTCTGTTTGACTAGACACTTTTGAAAACTATTAAACAGGTTTCTTCCATCAGTAATAAAAGCAAACAATGGCTCAAAAATATTTAATTTTCTCTTCTATATATCCTCCTGAATACACAAGAGTATATCGTGATAAAGTTCTGTACCCTTACAGACTTCCATGCACAAGACTGAATTTTACTCAGAAAAGCGACAGGATTTGAAAGTTAATTCTGCTGACATGTTTACCTCATAAATGTCAGGAAAATAATATGGCAATGCCAGCCAGTGACTCCATATCAGACCAGACACAATCCATTATCCTCAAACAATCTCCTCCTTTATTATGATTAAGAAATCACTAAGAGGAAGGGAAAAAAGATTTTATAATAAATACTTAGAAAGAAAATTGGAGAAAAAAATTGGTCTGCATGGATAAAAGTCATGCAAAGGTTTTCAGAGACCCTGTGAAAATCTAAGGGTTTAACACAGGTATATGGTGTGTTCTTTAAGGCCTAAGGCAAAAAGAAAAAGATTACAGTAATGTATAATTACTATGCAGTAATTATAACTGGTTCTTTTTATTATTTCTAAAACATAGTAAATACATATTTCTTTTCTACTCCTGAAACAAGCATCATAAATCAGAATATTTTTCTACAATTATGCAAAAACAAAATGTCTTGTAGTGGTTAAAGAGGAATTATTTACAAATTCTTATATTAAAAAAGCACATTATTGTACTCAAGTAGTTTTTACTCAGAGGGAATAGAATAAAAAATTATGATGTTAATAAATATATAAAGGGAATAGAGGAGYAAAAAGAAATAGGAAAGAAACAAAAGCAGAAGTTCTAATTATCTACTTCARTAGATAGAAGTGATACTTCATGGCTAAATCCCTTTAAACCCAGCAGGTAAATGTAAAACCTTCTGCCATTTCATGTGTGGATTATATAAATCATCATACTTTTTCTGCAGGTAGGCTCAACAGAAAAAAAATATATATATTGCAAAAAATAAGTACCTGCATACCTGTGAACAGAAGAGAGGCAAGAAAATCGATTTTCCTAAAACAATTCCTTCAAAAAGTTACTGTAGTATTTGCATAGGGCAGCTATCTGGGGACYCTGTATCCTCTCTAGCAATGCTACTGCAAACACTGGGCTGTGGAACACTGAAATTTGAAAAGAAAGTTTCACTTCAGATTTTCACTGCATGAATTAAAAACAAACRACAGCAAAGGCTCATCTTACAGTGAACTGGATCATCTGTTTCTTGACATTGGTTTTAATTTTCAAAATAATTTCATTGTTGAGTTACTCCACAATAGATCAATATACTATTCTTGCAAGCAAACCAGACTACAGGCTTTAGAAAGCAATGCTTGGTTCTTGACAGCAGGTTATTTTTAAATACTGTTGCAAAGACCATGTTGATTTTTCTAAAAAAGAAAAACCCACAAACTTGGTTTTCTTTCCTCAGAAGAGAGCCCAAATAGAATCATGACCAGTCATTGCCCTCTCTTCCACGAATCCTGCAGAAATTGCAATCTCTGCCCTAAAATGCAAGGAGGAGACCAGGTGTATGTGCTACATTGGCAATATGGGTCCTCATCAAAATGCACAAATCACCATATATTTGTTTCACTAGCTAAACATTTTAGCTGGACATACTATTGTCCATCTTTTTGTGCAATCCTACAAGGTCAAATTACTAACACAAACATAATTTCTCAAAAGAAGAGTTGACTCCACCCTTTTTCTTCAGGATAGCCTTGCAGACTACTGACATCAACTTTGGGGGTTTTCAGCTATGAAAACGAATAACAGTTTTAAGTGAAATGACCAATAGTTCTGTGAAAAATTAATACAATAGAAAGTGAAAAAGTACTTTGGAATGATTCTAGCACACTACAACAATGGCTGCAAATCCTAAAATCCTCAGGGCAAAGATCAATTTAGAGCACAATTACCTCATCAGGAATTTTACATCAATTCCTTGTGAGAGGTCTTTGCTACAGAGGAATTGCAGTCAATAATGTAACATATATTTTGACAGCAATATAAACTTCTGTTTTTCTTTCTTAGTTGAGAGTCCTTAGACTAATTTCTCTGAGTGATTGTAACCATGACCCCTGTTAGTTCTCATGCACAAAGTTTTTAATTAAATTTAGAATATATCTGAATGAATTCTTAAGAGAACAATTGCTGTAATAATTAACTGATYATTTTTTAATTTAATATCTAGTTCATTAGCATGAGTTATAGTTACTGAACCATCTCTTAAACTTCATTAAGCCTCTACTAATGAAGAGTAGTCTTTCACTTTCTTAAATTTACCATCGTTTAAGAAAAAAATAAAAACAGTTCAACACCTCTTATTCTTCCTATTAAACAATTTCCTTTAGCAATAGTACAGGCAAAGACATTAAATTACACAGATTATGATATACAGAATCCAAGCATCTGTTAAAAACCACACTGGTGAGAGAAAAAAAAAAATCAGGTTCTACTGAAGTCTTTGACACTTTAGTAATAATCATCTCTGCTTCTGTTGCTCAGACTGTAGTTGAACTCTCATTGGCTTAAGAATAGGGTCTACCAAAGTTGCAGTAATTTTCTTGTTCAGAACATAATGGAACAGCATTTATCTTTTTAGACATTTTTACAGAAGTTGGTCTGAAATTCTGATTTACTTTTTTCTTACATATGAGGTACATTTTGAACCTTTGCAAAGTTTTTTTTTTTTCTCCACAATTTAATAGCTAACAGATGTACTTATAGCTATCCTTGGCTGAGAAATAATTTCAATCTTGACAGTCAAAAATGAGCTCTATATGGTATTCTAACCACCTGCCCACAAGCAAGAAAAATCTGCTTTTTTAGGATGCGGTAGCAGTGCCAAAGCAAGCAACTTGGCTCAGCTGAGCTGGATGAGGAACGATTGCCTTCAGTTTGATTTGACCTTGCAAAATCCAAAGGTCTCAGAAATCTGCATATCTTTGGGAAGATATGTAGATAATGCCCTGTTTTCAGAGGAGATTAAAAAAAAAATAMAAACCCTTTTGTAAAATAGGGAGCCCCAAAATTAGGAACAACTTCCTC